CTAGGGTCTGTATATATTTTTTTATCATATTTATCTTTTAATATTGATTTTTGTATTTTTTATACTGATTGGTTATATATGTGTTTTTATTGGATGGTTGTAAGCTGCCCATAGTCACTTTTCTGTGAGATAGGTGGCTGTACAAATCTGATTAATAAACAAACAAACAAACAAATACAATTCTCAGCAGGTTGGCTTCTATTAAATGTTTGGTGATTTGTCACTGACCAGTCCCATTGTGGTAGTCATTTGGGCATGGGGAATTGCAACTCTTTTGGTTCTCTCAATAGCTTTTGATTTCATTGGTATCCTACTTGACTGCCTCTGAGGTTTAGAAGTGGGAGGCAGTGTTTTATAATGGTTCTTCTGTTTCCTGAAGAAGTTCTAGCTAGTACTGGTGAGACGAAGAGGTCATGCTCTAAGGCCATAGTAGGTATCACAGGACTCAACACACTTTCCCCTCCTGTTTACTATATATATATGAAGTCAATGGGGGAGGTAATCCATTAGCAGAGGGTTCAGGGGTCATCATTATACATTGTGACCCTGGGCCAAAGAGCAGATGTGATAGAGGTCCTATTCCAATACCTGAAGGCTGTTGAGGTCTGGGGATGGGGGAAAATGGGTCAGATTCAATCTCAGCAAAATGATGCGACTGTGGTACGGAAGTCGTCTGACTCCAGCGGCCTGTCATCTTTGGTTCTATTTGGGGTTGCATTCACCTGTACAGAACTGGTTCACAACTTGAACCAGTTGAATCAGTTGTGGCTGGCTGAATCCTGTTGGTCTGGAATAGCATATAAGCCCTGGTGAATAAATAAATAATCAACCGGAAAACAGGTATACCAGCTTTTCTGTATATCCATGGTTTGCATCAGGCAACATTCATGGAAATAACTTGCACCACCTTACCTGCAGACATTATGAATTTGAACATTATCTGGAACAGTAATGGATGGGGGGGCGGTGTCCCCTCAGACAAGACGAAGGATATTTCTTCCTGTTGCTCTCAGCCATTAGCCAAGGCAGTTGTAAATCTCTGTGTTTGATCCTCTATGGAAAAGCTTGTAATATCCCCTCATTCAGAGAGCTAAGTTTATTAGCCTTCTGACCTCTCTGCCACTGTCTCTTTAACAGCATTGTAAAAAGAAGCCAGAAAGAAGATACAAGAGAGCCAACACCACCATTAAAAAAATATTCCTCTTTACTTGCAAATATACCGCATAATTACAGTTTTATACATTTTTAGTACTTCATATAATTAGTATAAATAATGTACCATATATGTTTCTAAATGTGCACAAAGACACAATACTTGGTTGCTTCAGTTTGTTTGCTATAAAACATCAGCTGAAAAAAGAGATAGCATATAATCATAGAACTGTATTGTAAATTAATTTGTTTTGCCCTGGAATCATTCATTCATTTACACGAGGAATCTGGGGGAGAATTTATCCATCAGATTATAGGCAGAGATTGCCTATGGGAGATATTACTTTGTCTTTTTCCTCTTCCTTCGCTACTTCTTCTTACCTGATGCCCATTGCTTTGATATGGTCAACTGACTTATCAATAAAGTTATACTTAAGTTCCTATTTCTTCTTACTCACATTGGTATTCTGCGCCAAGTGGGGAAGTATGAGGCACAAAAGGTTTAAATGTTTGTATTTGGGGAAATATTGGATTTTATTTATTTTTTGGGGTGGGGAACCATGACCATATGTAAACTTTGAGGCTGTAATTCTATTGACCTGAATTGGAGAGGAACTGCCTGTGAACTCAGGGGAACCCGGGCAAAAGATTAGGCTTCAGCACTTCTAGGGGTGAACTCTTGTAATTACCAGCTTTGAATAATATTTACATAGCAATCCTACAAAAGAAAAGATTGTAACAGAGGAACTGTTTTCCAAGCACTGCTGGTGTCATTCCAATCAAAGTGGAAAGTGGAGGAATGATACCATATTAGTATCCTTTTGACTTTTAAAAATGTGGTCTCCTAAAAGAAATGAACTGTGTCCAATTTCAGGGCATGCGAATGACCTGAAAAAGTTTGTCAGGACTTCCTATGACTTACACCTTATCAATCTATGCTATTAATAAAGGCATCCTTCCAACAATGCCTCTAAACCACAGAGCTTTCTGTAGGGCTTCTCCACTAGCAGAAATGTTGCCCTGCTAACAGGTTCCCTCTCCTTTTGGGAAGCAGTGTTTCCAATGATTTCCAATGGAATTGACCATAGCATTACATAGCATCCTTGAGCTGCAGTTTTAAAAAGCATTTTCCATCCAATGTCTGTTTTATTACAGACATTTAAGCTACTTAAAAAAAAAAAGCAAAAATATACCTGTGATTTAGTAATTGTCTCATTATACTGTTACAAAATACTTGATTCAATTGGGATTGATAAAATAGCAATGGCATGATTTAAACAGAGGGCTTGATCTCATGTACATGTTTAATCTTTCCATTCTACTACTGGTTTTATATCATCTTCACATCTCTTTCCTAATAACATTCCAGACATCCAATTCAATTGGTTCATTATTATACTGTTGAATACACACAACTCTTGTTTACAAGAGACCTGCCAGTAGGAAGCAGGGGTGGATAGCGGAACTACAGATAGGGGTTTCTCCGTGTCAGGTGCCACTAGCAGAAGACACAGTGACTAAGATCCAAGAGGCAACTGGAGGGACCCATCTTCCTGCACTGAGCATTATAAAGGCAAACACTAAATTAATTACAGATGACCTATTTGTAAGTTATGGAGGTTTGGAAATACCACTTCAGACTATCCACACCTAAGATACTTTGCAGGTGTAAGTTTAGATCTTATTTTGGGTCTGGTTCTATATTCAGATGTATATAGCTAAGATAATATCTCTGATGATGAAGGAAGAGTCAAATTCAAACAGAAAATAGAGAGTGAGTGTTGGACAATAAAATACTCATATAACTTTATACAATATCAGTGCATGTTTAAAATAGAGTACAATTTTAACAGTGCAATCTACAAACCATTTAAGCCACAGTACTTAAGCCAGCAACCAGGTTTCTTTGCCTGGAGAGTTACACTGATGCACCTGGGGCATCCTTGCCTCTTTCAGAACATTTGCTATTACAGATGTGAGATTGTCCGTGTTGTGCTGATGTTAATCTACTGCACAGTGCAGACAGGCCCATTCTGTGCCCTGCATATCCAGCAACTTTTGTTTAAGAAGGGAAGGAACTGGTACAATATGGTTGAGAGGATCTACAATGGTTAACAAGCCAGATTACTAGGTGACCAGCAAGCTGCAGTATCTGGCATGGCAAAATTATTACCCAGGGAGGTTCCCCACGTGCAGAGTGTACTTATTTTTTGTTTCATCCTAAGTGCATTAAAACAGCAGTTGCTTTGACCCACTGGAAGACAAAGGAAACATTGGGCAATGTTGGGCTTCAGGGTTTAGTGATTGTGATCTAGAGAACAGATTTCTTGATGTTTTGCTGGCAATTGTGGCTGGCATCTTCAGAGGCAAAGTGGCCTGCTACACAGACCACAGGCAACTGAGCAGGGTCTCGGTCTCTCTCTCTCTCTCTCTCAAGAAAGGAGCCCAACCCAACAGATACCAGGTGTGAAAGCCTACATCAAAAGGGAACATTTTCTTTTTCAGAATATACACATTTCCTGGTCAAAGAGAAGGGTGTCCTATAATTCATACTGCAGAAGAGAACATAACCTACAAGAGTAGGTTAAGTGTTCTTGGCCAGCAGTGTCAGGGAGTGGGAGGGGCAAGAGCGGACAAATGATGGAAACAGCATCACATCGATGCAATGTAAGCTGTGCCTCTTTTGTACATGTGTCATGATGTCGCAGACATAGACAAAAGGGGCAGTGCTTGCATGGTGATGGCTTTACAGTATGTTGCTTTTATCATTTTGCAGAAAACAGTAGATCCTGCCGAGGCCTCTGTTCCTGCTCCATTTGCTCAACCCTTTTTGTATGTGTGAAATGTGGCAGGGCAAGACATTGGGATCAAGAGTCAAGGTGTTTCTTGGCTCCTGATATGCAACCCACATAATAACCAGATCCAAGTGATATTGCTGGCCTGCAGCATATCAAGCATCACTGAGGGGTTGAATAGTTGAATCCTCCAACAAACCAATTCCTGCATGCAAAAACTGGCAGGCTAAGGGAAGGCCCACACAGAAGCTTCCTTTCTAACATAGTGGTTTTAGTGGTTTCTACACAAAAAGAAGCTTATTGTTTTCTACAGAAAACATTCAACTATGCAATTTTCAGTGGGACATTCTAGTTACAACTTCATATGGGTGATAATCCCTAGTGCTATGCTGAAAGATTCCCCCGCAATTCTTTTGCTATTAGTTCCCATTCAATTTGATGAAAAATATTTCCCCCCGCCTAAGGAGACAAGAATTTCCAGTGAAATTCTTATAGGTACATTCTGGTGATCTTGTATAATTCACGTGTAGAATCCATTCCCACAAGAAATGGTAACAGTCATTCACTTGATTCATGGAGGACAGGTCCATCAAAAGCTATTCATCATGAAGACACAATGTGACCTCTGGCTTGAGGCCAGTATGTCTGCAGGGGAAGAATGGTGGAGGAGGGGCATTTTTCTGTCTCTATTTTATGGGCACCTGAGAAGCAACTGATTGGCCACCATAAGAAAGATAGTTCTGGACTAAGATGACGTTGGCTTGGTCCAGCAGAGTTCTTCTGGGTGGATGTCCTGTTTTCCACTTTACAGTTATCTCTCCAGTTCCTGCCTTCCCACATTTTCATTAAATCCCAAGGAAAGGCACTATGTCAAGCCTCCTGTAGGGCTTCATCAGATTGGGAAGTGTGGGCAGGTAATAAAGCAAGCTCAAAAACACCCCGATAAATCCAAAAGAAATTCCCAAGCAGCCTGAGAGGTACAAAAGCCAGAAGTCTCTTTGATACAGGAAGAAACTGCAAGACAAGACGTTGACACAGCATTACTAATCACCTACCGTGCCTCATTGTTTGTTTGGGCCATAAGGTTTAGGGAAAGGAATGTAGTAACCCCCTTGACACATGATCTTATTATCCACTGATTTTTCCATGGCTAAGCTGGGGTGTGTGCAAATACGCTGGCTTAAGTGACCTGTGGACCACTACCCAACCCCTTCTCACTCTTTCCAAAGCAGAGATCCTTTTTTAATGATTGCCTTCTTCAAATGTTGTGGAGTCTTTTGGTATAATCCTCTGTTTATAGTCTTCTCCAGATCCAAGTTCCACATCCTGGTAGTTAGCAAATTCCTGAGGTAATGGAAACTCCTCTGCTGATGAATGAGTCCTGTGTCCAAACACCCTCTCTTGTAGCTCAGCAATGTCATTCCTGATATCTGCCATCATCAACAACAGGAAGTCAAAAGAACCTGGTGGCCCCTAAAAAAGTTACAAAGGAGACAATGAAGTTACTTGTCTTTCATGTTACATTAAACTGGGCACTTACACTGAACTGGGTATTATTCAGATGTGTTGGGCTTCAACCCCCTTTATCCCCAGCCATAAACTAGGCCCCAGGCATTTGACTGCCACAGGTAGCAGCAGAAATAAAAGGGGTTTTATAGGGGCCATCTTATTTTGCCTTAACTATACTGGAGTAAAAACCAATATTGATTTTATTATGGCTCAAGGAATACTCCTAGTTACATGCACACTCCACTTCGAACAATTTGGTTATGGGGACCCTATTTTATATATTTAGAAAGGGGGGAATGGAAAAGAAAAAGAAGAAAGCAGAAAGCAGGGTGGTGGGAAACCCTGTTAAAAGCAATGTATTAGCCTCAGTTTTGCAGGTCTGCAGTTTTGGAGCATTTTTTGTGTATTTTATGCATGTGCAAAATAGTGGACAGGTTTTTGTGCATAAAGTATGTTTTTCATGGTCTTGTTATTTGCAATTATGTGGCTGGAACAGAACCCCTGTAAGTAAGGAGTAAGCCTGTCATGTTATACAATTAAGTAATTAACATTTAATTCAATTTAGTTACCAATTAAACAAGGATAAACACTACAATATGAAGTCCAGTTTTCTACACAGTCCTCTAATCAGTGGCATGCATACACTGAAGATAGAGAAGGCAACCATTTTGGGGCCTCCAAGAACAGGCTCTCTTGGACTCCTCTTTGCCCCACCTCTTCAACAAATCTGACCACAGGGTTAAGGCTACTGTATCTGGGCAGTCTTCTTGCATTGAAGAGCTGCTGCCATCAATGCTTGCTACCAGTTCCTCCTCTTCCTCCTCCTCCTGCTCTGTTGGTACTGCCAAGCCATCCAGCACCTGATCAGCAGCCAGACGCATTGGAAGGAAAGCCGTCCGAGCCCCTGGGAACTTCTCTGGGGATTGTTGCCAGCTGCTTTCTTCCTCTTCTTGTCCTCCTCCTCCCTTAGTTCTTGCAGAGGAAGGAGAAAGAGAAGAGGAACAGAAAACAATCATACCATCTCTGGGCTGCAAACATCAAGATACTCCCTAGATGGCAGCAAAGAAATACCAAAAACACTACCTCTTTGCTGCCCTCTAGTGGCTGTCCACTGTTGCAGCCCAGAAAAGTAGGCCTTACAGGCAGTTGAATGGGAGATTAGAGGAGAAGCTCAACAGGAAAGGGGAAAGAGGCTTTCAGTGACTGAAGAGGTGGGAGCAAACCCACATAGGGATCAGGGCTATGAGCAATAGGGGAGAAGCAGTCATGTGAGCGTCCTCTCCCTTTCTCCTGCTCACCCTCAGTTTTCATAGTGTTTTTATCCCAGTTGCCAAATGGTAACTGAACCATTCATTTAAGGGTGTAGGAACTCAGCCAATTATCGTACAAATCTTGCAAAGTACCGTATAATGTCCCCATATCTCTTTAAGCTACAGAATTTTGTGTGTGTGCCTGCCTTCAAGTCAGTGTTGACTCCCGGTGACTGCCTAGAAAAGTTCCTGCAGTTTTCTTGACAAGATTTTTGGAAGTGGTTTGCCCTTGCCTTCTTCTTCCTAGGGCTGAGAGAGAGGGACTGGCCTAAGCTGGCTTTGTGCCCAAGGCAGGACTAGAACTCATGGTCTCCTGGTTTCTAGCCTGATGCCTTAACCACTACACCGAATTGTCTCTCTAAAACATAGAGAGGTAAATTTTTCAGTTCATTGTAGAACATGAAATAATCCTTCCCAAAAGGCATGCAATATCCATTTCTCTTACTTTCTGTTAATGTCTAAACCACATAATTCAAAGGAACATTGGCATTTACAAATGTCATTGAGCCTTTCAGAACAAATTAATATGTGAAATAACCTCACTATAGCAGGAAAGCCCACCATATGAACTGACATTGCATTGTAAGTACTTCTCCAACAACGAAATAATCTATTTGTTCCTGAAAAGAGATATTGGTCTCCACCGAATATAAAATAATGATTGTTGAATTAATCATAATTTTAATTCATTGACATTCATGTACTGGTCACTCCAATTCCTAATTCTGTGCTTTTCTATATATATATTCTGGAATATCTAATGCAGTGTATTTTAACTGCTGTTAGTTCATAATCATGATAGGCTTATTATTCTGTAAATAACGTTTTAGTCCTCTAATAGTAGAAGAGATTCAAAAGCACTTAGGGCTACCAATCCTATCCAGATGTGAAAAGGAGTTTTAACTGGAGATACTGCATATTTCGTCAGTGATACTTAATGTATGTTGTAACTCTGCAAAAAACAGAAAATAATAATCTAATCCTACTAATGGATCTCAGATAAACTTTCCGTTCTCCAGTAAAAACACTGCTTTGCTTTCTTCAAGTTTGGTTCCTAAGGATAAAACCTGAGTTGATATGCTACTCCATGCCTTGTAGCTAATTGAGAAAGGGAGAATTCCAGGGTAAATGGACTGCAGCAATCTTCAGTTTCTGGGGTTCTGAAGCTCAAATATATCAATTCTAAGATAACCAAGAATGGCAAATTTCCAGTTGGCAAAATCTGCCATACATTAACCTAAGAAAAAAGATACTCATGATAGCATAAGCTTAAATCTGGAAAATTAAAACCTTTTTCTCTGATAGATGAAGCTTCCTAAGTAAAATGTGAGTGGGAGACTTCCCTCTCCCTGAACTCCAAAACAGTATATTACATTTCTGAAAGAATATACAGAGGAATCCTACATATGGTATACATTGCTAGCAGTAAAACATTTAATTTTAAATATTAATTTTACCCCAAACACTCATCTTAACTAAGGTTGATCTATCTAACCCAGGTGCTTTTCCTAACTACAATAGATTTCATTGTTTTAATCATCTGAGATCTTTCTCTAGATATTCTTAGTCTAACTTTTGCTTAGTACCTCTGAGCATCATTGAAACCATCTCCCCTATACACACTTGTTTTCACAACTTACTAACTCCAAAAACAACAGTTCAGATTTAGATCAACTAATACAACATCCAGAAAGTGCTCCAATATTATCAGTCATCAATACATTTCAGTATATTGGCTGCAAGCATGGCCACTGTAGACTCCATACTTGCATGTTTCAATCCACAAATCTCACTACTAATTGCGCATGCTAAAAGTTGCAAATGGAAATCAACCACTAAAGAGCAAACCTTCTCAAACAGAAAGGGCCTTGATAAAATTCTGTTAGTCTGACTTATTCTTTATTCTTCTTCAAAAGCAAAAATAGTCCATTTTCAAAATTCCCGGGGAAAAGAATTAAAAACAGATATTGCTGACAGATTTCATCACAGTCCTTCTCTGCAGGATCTACCTTAGCGTGACTTCAAGCTATAGAATTTTCTAATAATCTCAAATTGTCCATAACAAATAATGCTTAATTAGGACAGATGAAGCTTGCTAGAATCCTTGCAACTTTGCAAGATATTTTGGTATCTATATTTGTTAATGAGTTGAACTGAGCTGGACATGCTGTGGAGGTCCTGAGTTGGCTGGTCCTGAGGAGGCTGTCAAGGACTGGTATGGGAGAAACAAGCTCAGACTAAACCATAGCAAGATGGAGCTGCTGCTTGCCCATAAACATCTGAGCCTCCGTGAAATTGTGCTTCTAGATGGAGCCATGCTTCTCCTGAAGGAGCAGGTCCATGGCTTGGGGGCCCTGGCCAGCTTTTTCTTTTCCTCCAAATCTCAGCAGGATAATCCAAGAAACCAACCTAAAAACTCACATTAATGAGGCACTGTATATTAGAAAGGAGGATTAGGTAACAGCACAAGAATCCCAGCAACTGATCTACTTTCAGATGAAGCCTGTTTATATTCTCTATGCCAGTGGCAAGAAGTTTTATCTTTTTAAGTGCTCTTGTGATGTGATGCAAAGGGTGTGAGAAGCAGAGAAGGCTGTGCACTTCCACAAAAGAGGGGCAAGCTGCATCTACTCATAGTTTTTATAATTGCCAATCCCCTTTTCAGCCTGAGAAATAGCGCCCGCATTCTTCTGGATTCAGGGCTCCTGCTAAAACAGGAGTGGAGGCCATGGTGAGGAGGGCTTTTATCTAGTTTCAGCTGGTGTGCAGTTATGGGGGCCAGGAGGCATCAGCTACAGTGACTTCCGCTCTTAGCACTACAACATAGTACAACTGCAAGGCGCTGCGTATGGACCTGTACCAGAAACTACAGGTGGTACAGAATGTGGCTACCAGGCTGCTGGCACATAGACTGTCATTGCAGGATAACAGCTACTTTATGGTTGCCAGTAGGCTGCTGGGCTTAATCCAAAATGCTGGTCCTATAGGGCGCCGTGCCAGGTTACTTTATGGACCACCTCTTCCAGAACAATTCTGCCCATTCTGTCAGATCTGAGGGATGACCTGTTTAGAGTCCTGTCCCCATATGAAGTGAAGGCAGCTTTGGCTGCAAGGCAGGTCTGGTTCGAGATGACCTCAACACTGTAGAATATGCTGGCCCTGAAAACAGCTTGACCCTTGCATGTCTGAGTTTTAGAAAGTTTTTTAAAGCCTTCATTTTTAAACAGGCTCTTTGATGATTCTGATGCCTAATGGGGAATGAAGAAGGCCACCTTGTTATTTTTATTGTTTTATTGGGTTGATTGTTTATATTGAGTGGTATACACATTTTACTAATTAATAAATGTATACGTAAATAGCACATGATGTTTGATCTTTATCTGGTTTAGGAATTAATTGCCATGTAAGAATTGTTAAGAAAAGCTGACGGTGTATCAGATTCAGACATGTTTTGAAAAAAACAAAGAAGTTTAAGTATTTTTATACCATTCTATAGGAAAACCATGAAGCCCTGGTATTTTACTATTCTTCATACTACCAATAATATGTTGAATTTCTTCATACTGGAAAGATTCAGAAAGTAGCTTATTTTCTTGATTGTCCAAATAGAAAGAAAAGGTTTTAATTCATTTTCCATTAAATCCTTATCTTTTTTGTAAAGTTTTGAATAACGTTTTTGACATCTTAAATATATCTTTCTGGCCATTACATAGTTGTGCCAAATCACTGAAATAAAATTCTGAGCTTTTTACAGCTTTAATTATTATGCCATAAGTTTATCAATTTGTTCTCCAAATTCCTTTGCTATAAATATGTTAATGCAAAGCTCCTTTAACAGAAAGCAATTTATTTAATACATATTTAGCACTTTGCAAGTTCTTGTAAAGAACTCGAGATGGGCGAGTAGGAAATTGAGACAATAAAAGCTTAACCATCCTGTTTATCATTTTTTTTCTCATAATATTCTTTTTTTCCATATAAGAAAAAAGAAATCATATCCTGCCTGTGTCCCACTTAGTGTCACAAGAGGATGCTGAATTCTCATTCATATTCTTAAAAATGGAAGACTGCTTTTTAAAATTGCTGACACTTATCCAGGAAACATCCAAACACCAAATGTTCTTTATTTTAGAGGAATTCCTCAGTTGCAAAGAAACCACAACTGAGGAGCACTTATATGCAGTTTAACTTATATGATAGTCTGTTACATTCTGAAATAAAATTGAAGAAATTTTATAAAATCCAACCAAAAGCAATTTTCTTGTACAGAAGATAGAAGGGCATAATTTATTTCACTTGGAAGCAATAATGACCACTCAACAGTTAAAACCACCTTACACACATAAAACAACCTCAGTGCTAACTAACTAAAAACCATGAAGAACCTAACATTGAATCAAGACTTTGATCCTCTCCAGTGATCAAAAGGTTGTAAGTAATAAGGGCATGATTACTTTAAAAATATGAAAGGTGCATATACACTAGGATTGTAAATATTATTTATCTACAGGAGCTGAAGGTGCTATACATAGAATTTCCTCCTCCTCTTTTCCCCACAGCAGCAACCCTGTGAGGTTGGTTGAAGAGCAAGAGTGAGATTCGCTCAAAGGCACTCTGTGACCTTGGGTGGCTGAGGGTGGACTACAGCCTGGTCTCCCCCGTTCCTACTCCAACTCTTTAACCACTGCACTACCTTGGCTGTCTGGCTAGTTTATTTTATTTATTTATTTTATTTAGCAGACTTGTCCCCGCCCATCTCCTCCCAATGGGGGACTCTGGGTGGTTTACAACAATTAAAACAAATAAATTCATAATTAAAATTTATAAAAAGAGAAAAACACATTTACCCAAAATGGAAGGAGGAGAAAAA